TTCCTTGCCCGTTTTTACTATATAATCATAGCTTTTAACTTTATACGAAAACATTAATGAACTTTAAAAATTTTTACATGATGAACAGCAACATGCATAACCTGACGTACGTACGATTTTATTCATAATATCACGTGATCTCTCGAAAAATATACGTAAATCGACGTTTTTGTCAATTTTAAATTTTGGAATATAAAATGGGGCAGATCACGTGACTTTAGTCTTTAGGTGTCGCGCACTGTACTAACACTAAAATTCTTTTTGCTCCGGAGTGTAACACTATTTTTATTCTATAAATATTATGTCCGAGATATCTTCTCCCACTTCTACCTCTACTACGGCGACGGAGGACTCTCCCACACTGGCTCATGTGGTCAAAAGATGGAAAACAAAAGAGCTCATTGAGTTCTTACGAAAGGAGGAAGACTTAAACCTTAGCGAAAAGGCTATTAAAATTTTAGAACAAGAGGAGATTGATGGCCGTGACTTTCTCAAGATAAGCGAAGAAAAGCTTCGCAGTTATAAAATGCCAGGTGGACCTGCGTCAAGGCTTTCTGACTTCGCTAAGGACCTTAGTAAACGAAAGTTAAGAGCGTATTCATCATACAAAAGTCTTAAAGAAGTGTTGAGAAAATTTGGACTAGATAGTGATGGTACCGAATCAATTCCACTGTTCAAAATAGGTAAGTCTCTTGTCGAAACCTGTATACACTATTGTTTGCGGGAATAGTCTAATATTATCTCTCCCCAGCTAAAATAACCTGCGAGATTCAAGATTCTGATAAGCATTTCGCACATTGCATGGCAGAAATTATGGTCAGGCTAAAAAATTATGGGTCATTGGCTGTGGATAGTTTAGAAGCCATGCGTAATGAATTTGTCATGGCAATTCTCCATACTGCTCTCAATATTGCTAAAGACGATACGCAAAAAAAATTTAGTATGAGACCTCAGTATGAAATTGTTGGAAACGAAAGTACTGGGCGAGTGGATTACGCGATTAAGGTAAGTTTTGTTCTTTATTA